GGAATTATTGGTCTAGAAAGTAGGATAAACTCCTGGAAAGGTTCCATTAGCAATGTAATCCAGTCGCATATAAGTCTCTGTTTTTGATGTAAATTACATTGGCTGAACCTGGTAGCCCATAAAGAACATTCAGTGATAAAAAAGCAAAAAGAAATATCCAGCATTATTTATTTAAGGTAGTGTGGAGGATACTAAGACCTCCGACGAAAGTGGAAGTCCTCAACACCATAAAGCTACTGAAATGCGGGAAAGTAGCAGGACCAGATTTATTCCTGCCAGAAGCACTGAAAACGGACGCAGAGACAACAGCGAATATGCTCACACCACTACTGCAGAAGGTTTGGATGGAAGGAAGGAAGCAAGAAAGGAAAGGTACCTGCCGATTGATAGGAAGAAGGCTACCTTGTCAAACTCTAAAACAAGGGAGACCTAAGTCTTTGCAAGAACTGGTGAGGAATCATGTTTCCGTCCAATCCAAGCAAAATATTATGCTGCATCATCCTAAAGAGAATAAATGATCTTCTGCATTCAAAACTACGACCCAAACAGGCTGGCTGGCTTCAGGAAGTACAAGTCGTGTGCGGATCAAATTGCAACACTACACTACACTACGCATCATCATAGAACTGAGCACATAATGGTAGTCAACTCAACCCCAACTTTATCGACTTTGAAAAGGCCTTCGACAGTGTTGACCGAGAAGTAATTTGGCAACTGCCTCAACGATACGAAGTGCCACAAATCTTTATCAACCTCATTCAACAACCATATGAAGATGCCCCATGTCAAGTGATCCACAATGGAAAGCTCAGTGATGTCTTTGAAGTGAAGACAGGGGATGGGAGTAAGTCAAGGCTGCCGCCTACCATCACTGATGATCCTTCCTGATTGTTGTTGACTGCATCGTGGAGCTATCAGTGAGGAGCGAGTAGATGGAGATGTTGTGGCTAGACCAGTGAAAAGATCCTAGAATATTCGGATTTCGGCAATGACTTATGTCTATTGTCACACAAACTTGAAGATCTACGGCGAAAAAATTAACATGTTGACGGTAGAGGCACGGCAGCGAAGACTGGAATTTAAGCGAACTTTAGAGAAGACAGAGGTGATGGGAATATCCAATCAACGCCACCATCAACAGCAACAAGCTCCAATCACGATCATCTGTAGGAACTTGAAGGAAGCAGCCTCTTCAACCTAATACTCAGAGCAGCACTGTTTCAACTACAGGCGGCGACAAGGACGAGGACGTCTAGTGCAGGATTGGGAAAGCAGATATGTGTTCATTAGCCTGAAACCAGTGTGGAGATCTTCTACACTCTCGTCAGCATAATGCGTGAACAAGATTCGGGTTTTCAACACCAATTACATCAAGTTAGTGCTTCTATATGGTTCAGAAACTTGGCGCATCATGAAAGGCACTTCTAACAAAACTGCAGAAATCATCAACAACTGCCTACACTGGCTTGTAACTGAAGATTAGATGGCCAAAATAACAAGGATGAGCAACAAGAAACTCTGACAACGAACCAACGAAGAAGCTATCACCTAAAAATATGCAGAATGGAGTGGAGATGGATTAGGCATACACTGAGAAGTTCATTCGGGGACATCATGCGCTAGGTACTCTAGTAGGACTCGAGTAGGAAACGAAGAGTTGGGCATCCGAGACGAGGGTGATATGGAGGGGATCGTGTGAGGAAGAAATGAGAGCTTGTGGGCAGTGTGGAGCCAGGTTCAAAATATTGCAGAGCACAGAGTGAAGTGGAGGTGTGCTACTGAAGCCCTGTGTACCACTAGGAACCATAGGGACAAATAATAATAACAATAAGTATACTCTACTTCAAAGGACTTTCACTTTTGTATGAATTATGTATTGGTTTTGGCAGTAGGAACCAGTTGTAATAACGCCCAGATATCAGCTTAAAATCATATGTAAAATGTATAGTATATGATAATCATTTATCTGTACGTAAAAAGACCTCAGTAGTGACTGCCTGCAGCTACATATACGATTCAATATTGGAACACGATATTATGCAGATACGAAATCAAACTTCAGAACAAAATGCCAGTCATTGATAATTTGTCCTCTGAGAAAATTACATAATAGTCGAGAGGAAGGGATTACGAAATAACTCTGAATTGGGTCACTTCATCAAAACTGCTGGAGCGGAATAATTATGATAACATTTTATTTTGACAGTTTTTATTCATCTGCTTACAATGCAAATGCAAATTAGTAAAAATTAGTGAGTAGACGAAACATTTAACGCTTCCTAACCTTTTGTCAGAAATTGAACTGCATGTGGTTATTAGAGCATGCAGAAATCAACAAGTTTTAGTAAGGTGTAACAAATCTGAAGAAGGAAATTACAGCAAAATATCACGTCTGTACAAACTATGCAACAGAAACTTCTAAAAAATTGCCTGGGGCAGAATAAACCGCTGTGATAAAGGAATATAGAATTCCATAAGTTAACAGATATATTACTGGAAATTAGGTTGTGTACAATGAAGTAGGTGGAACTCAGTTAGTCAGTATAAGCAAGTTGAGTTCAATGAATGGACAAAATTGGACAAAATGAGAATGAAAGTTAACATGTAGATGAAGCGAAAGTATTGTACAAGTAAGGAAGAGTGAGAATTTTGCGACAGAATTACCAAGGCAAAGATACGTAGACGATGGCTTTCTTAGGAACACATGAACCAGGTTTCAAGCATTCTGCGGTTGAATAGTTAGAACCTTCCCGTACACATTTTGAAGAATTCATTCTCATTAACCTTGAATCATAATAATTCTTGACTGCGTTTGATGTTACTTCCTTAATAACAGATCCACATCCTCATGATACTTCTTTGTTGCTAGTTATGCAAAGAAATACTGTCTGTTTGTAAATGCACCAAATAAATGTTCCGAGTTAATAATTATAGGCTACAACAGGAAGTACTATGTTTCGTTGATTCTTCCACCACTTTTTCAACTGTATGCCAGTGAATATATATCACATTGACTTTGTCCTAGTAATAAACAGTTCGAAAACGACATTAAAAGAAAGGATTCTTGACAGCAGAAACGTGTACACCAAATATGTCAGTACCACGTTCATGAAATTTTAGTTCAATACTAATATGAAGACAATAATGTTACTTTTGTAGCAGTAGATGGCTAATACGAATCTTTCAAAGAATTTTACGCACAATTTATGGTTACATCCGCAATGAGATTATTATACTAATGGATGGTCGTAATTAAAGTTTAAACCTATTAATTTCCCACTGACAATGAAAAACATTACGCTACATGGTTAGAGATACAACAATACTGAATCTCGTGTTTAGGCTTTTAGATACGTAGTGATGCGTACATGGATACATAGTTAGATCATAAAAGATAAGTGAAAGTAGATTACATAAGTTATACAAACGGTTAAAAAGCATTTATTAAGAGATAATAAGGTTTTAGAACTGTATGAAGACATAGGGAGGAATATAGAAGCAATCTAGATAGGAAAGATAAAAATGTTTCACATAGTTTGCTACTCAGGATGTCGTGATGTCCAGCGTAAGTTAATTAGGTAGCTTTGTCTATTTCCTCTTCGGAAAATGTAGTTTGATAACTTTCATCAAGTTTGCTGTAGCTACCAGGATTTCAAGCACTCATATTTCTGTGAAAAATTATTATTATTAGTCCCTTGGGTTCCTAGTGGAACATAGGGCTTCAGTAGCACGCCTCCAGTGACCTCTGTTCTCTGAGATCTTTTGAACCTGGTCCCACGACAGCCCACAACCTCTCATTTCCTCCTCGCACGACCTCCTCCATGTCACCCTCAGCTAGGACACCCAACTCGTCGCTTCCCATGGGGATTCCACTCGAGCAACTGGCCTGACGCGTGATGTCCTCAGTCGGCCTTCTCAGTGCATGGCCAATCCATCTCCACTTCTTCCAGCATATTTGTTGCGTGATAGGTTCTTGGTTGGTTCGTTCCCAGAGCTCCTTGTTGCTTATTCTTTCTGGCCATCTGATCTTCAGCAGCGAGCGTAAGCAGTTGTTGATGAATGTCTGTAGTTTATTGGAAATACCTTTCGTGACGCGCCAAGTCTTTGAGCCATACAAGAGCACTGACTTGACGTTGGTGTTGAAAATCCGTATCTTGTTCCGCATGCTGAGTGCAGAAGATCTCCACACTGGTTTCAGGTTAATGAATGCCTGTCTTGCTTTTCCGATTCTGACTTTGACGTCCTCGTCTGTCCCGCCTGTAGTTGAAACAGTGCTTCCTAGATAAGTGAAGGAGGTTACTTCCTTCAAGTTTCTCCCGTTGACTGTGATTGGAGTTTGTTGTTGTTGTGATGGTGGTGGTGCGGTATCTTCATCACTTCTGTCTTCTCTATATTCACCTGAAGTTCCGTCTTAGCTGCCTCTTCTATCAACTTGTTAGTTTTTGCCTGCAGATCTTCAAGTTTGTGTGACATCAGGCATAGGTCATCGTCCAAATCCAAGTCTTCTAGGTTCTTTTCCGTCGTCCAGCGTATCCCCCTCTTCTCGCTCCCCACTGTTTGCTGCATGATCCAGTCCACCACAATAAGGAATATCATGGGGGATAGTAGGCAACCTTGTTTCACTCCTGTCTTCACTTCAAAAGCATCACTGAGCTTCCCATTGTGGATTACTTGGCATGTGGCATCTTCATATAGTTGTTGAATGAGGCGGATAAAGGTTTGCGGTACTCCGTAGTATTGAAGCAGTTTCCAAATTACTTCTCGGTCGACGCTGTCAAAGGCCTTCTCAAAGTCGATAAAGTTGAGGCAGAGAGCTGAATGCCATTCTATACTCTGTTCTATGATGATGAGTAGCGTTGCAATTTGGTCTGCACATGATTTGTACTTCCTGAAGCCTGCCTGTTCCGGTCGCAGTTTTGAATCCAGTGCGTCTTTAAGCCTCTCCAGGATGATGCGGCTTAATATTTTACTTGCTTTGGGTGGACAGGAGAGTGATTCCGCGCCAGTTCTTGCAAGCACTGAGGTCTCCCTTCTTCGGCAGTTTGACAAGGTAACCCTTCTTCCAATCGTCAGGTACCTTCTCTTCCTTCCACACCTTCTGCAATAGTGGTGTGGTGTGAGCATGTCCGCTGTTGTCTCTGCATCTGTTCTCAGTGCTTCTGGCGGTATTCCATCTGGTCCTGCTGCTTTCCCGCATTTCAGTAGCTTTATGGCGTTCAGGACTTCCATTTTCGTTGGGGGATTAATGTTCACTTGTAGTTCAGCGGCTGCAGGTGGTATTTGTGGACGAAGTGCAGGTGGTGGTCGATTCAAGAGCTTCTTGAAGTGGTCGGCCCATCGTTTCCTCTGTTTCTCTTCTTTCGTAATTAAATTTCCTTCTTCATCTTTTATTGGTTTCATCTGTGTTGATCTCTTCCCTGATAGCAACCTGGTTATTTGATACAATGTCGTCAGGTCTCTCTTACCTGCAGCCTGTTCTGCTTCACTTGCCAGTGTTTCGTAGAAGTGTCTTTTGTCTTTGCGTGCACTCTTCTTCACTTCTTTGTCCAGTGTTTTATACATTGTGCTCAGTTCCTCTTGTCGTTGAGCATCCTTGCACTGGTTTATCTTCTGCTTCACCATCCTCCTCTCCTCTATCAGCTCCCAGGTATCCATCGAGATCCATTCCTTATCTTCTTTCTTCTTCCTTCCTAATACTGTTGTGCAGGTTTCTTTCCACATAGCTTTCAAAGACTCCCAGTGTTCTTCCACACAGGTTTCTTCAGGGATGTTCCTCGATGTCTCCCATTTTGTCTTGATGACTGCCTTGAAGATCTCCTTTGTAGTTTCATCCTTCAGTTTCCGAGTGTTGTACTTGAATTGAGGTCTATCACCAGCTTCCTTGAAGGCTTTTAACTTGATTTGGAAGGTTCCTTGCACTAGACAGTGAGTGGTCTGAACCTACATCTGCTCCTCTTCTTGACCTTGTGTTAAGTAGACTGCGTCTCCATTTTCTTGAGATTGAGATAAAGTCGATTTGATTTTTAGTGTGTCCTGGTGTCTGGTGAAATCCATGTCGCTTTGTGGATATCTTTGTGCTTGAACACACTGCCTCCAATCACCAAATCGTTGAATGCACAGAATTCTGCAAGCAATTCTCCATTCTCATTCATTTCACCTAGCGCCTCTCGACCCATGGTTAGTTCTCTTCCCGTGTTGTCCCCTCCCAGTTTGGCATTCATGTCGCCCATTAGAATTTTGATATCGCCAACTGACGTCTTGTCCAGTGTTGACTGAAGTTGTCTGTAGAATTCCTCCTTTTTCTCTTGCTCTGCATTATTTGTAGGTGCATAACATTGTATGATTGTGACCTTCCTTCCTTTTGAGTTGAATCTTGCTGTCATGATCCTGTGGAGGAGATTGGTTCCCACTGCATGAGAGCCTTCGATGCTCTTGGGGACATCATGATAGCCACTCCCTCAGTGTGCTCGTGGTTGTCGTCTGGGTGACCGGAGTAGATTATTGATTCTCCAGTTGACAGTTTGGAGAGTCCACTCCCATTCCATGTGCTTTCGCAAATCCCAAGCACTTCGATGTGATACCTTCTCATCTCCTTTGCAATCTGGGCTGCCTTACTGGGTTCAAACATCGTACGGACATTCCATGTCCCCACGTTTACTTTCGCTTTCATCGAGAGAAGCGAAGACACATCGGCCAATTGGCTTCCCGAAGGCTTTCACCAACTGGCGTCATTTCGCCTCTCCGATTCCAGCGGGGAATGAGTTTGTTTTCATTTTTTATATTTTGTTTGTGCTTTGAAGTTTGTTTAGCGGTTAGATTTGTTTTACGGGGTAGGGTTGCTAGCCCTATGCCCAACCTTCCCTCTTTACCCGGGCTTAGGACCGGCTAGTAACTAGTAAACTAGTTAACCAGGCGATGTTGTGGAAAATTATGGTGAAAAGAAATGGTAGGAATACCAAGACCTTCTATAAGCAACTCTTTTAAAAAAATTAGGCTGGTACTTTTGTGTCATCTTAGGAAAATGATGATATAATTCATTAAAATATTGATTGTTGAAAAGCCATGGGATCTTCACTTCAAAAATTTCACTCCATCCCTTTTTCCTAATTTGTTTGGGACGGGGACTAGCAAACAGTACTGTGAATAGTTGGCAGTGTTTCAGCTAATGAGCGACCCCCAGGGATTGGTGCATAATAACGTGGATCAGTTATGAACAGAACTGTATTGCAGCCTAAGGTGAGTAAATGTGTTGTTATGTGACAGCGTAAAATATGATATTTATTCTAGTCGAATATAAAATGTCTAAATAGTACTAAGCTAATCTGTTGATCAAATGAGTCTGCCAGCCAACTCAAATGGAAACTCAGCAACTAACGGAAACGATGACGCAACGAGCAAGAGTCTCAGCCCAAAGACCCAAGTTTCTGGGAAATATATTATCTCCAGTAGCTTACAGTTTCTTATCCGGTCACATCCTCTGGGTTATCTCGTGAAATTTAATAAATAACGTTTAGGAGCCGTTGGCTTTTGGTTTCTCATCTGCTTGATGTTTAAGAACACTTTCATTTCATTCACTTGACAAATTTAAACAATGCAATGAACAAAGACATTTGCAGAATAAAAGAGCTCATTTTATCGCATAGCCTTTCATCAGCTGCAAACAGCCTGCGATGGGAATGAGTTATTAGTAGTAATAATAACACAACATTAAACACGCAGAAATAAATGGAGATTTGAAATCCAGGATTAACAATAAGGTAGTAAGTCTAAGAAACACAGGATTAATAGTTATATACCTTAGTTAAAATCTGTGACTATTTATATCTGGTCAGATGGAAAATTCTGGAGCTATGGATCTACGATTTTCAAGTAATTAGGTGACTTATTAGCCCTTAAACGGTCCCTTCTATCACACTGGTTTGCGTTTGTTTTCCTCCCACTCCACAGCTCCAGAATTTTCCATCTGACCAGATATAAGTAGTCACAGATTTTAACTAAGGTATATAACTATTAATCCTGTGTTTCTTAGACTTACTACCTTATTGTTAATCCTGGATTTCAAATCTCCATTTATTTCTGCGTGTTTAATGTTGTGTTATTATTACTACTAATAACTCATTCCCATCGCAGGCTGTTTGCAGCTGATGAAAGGCCATGCGATAAAATGAGCTCATTTTATTCTGCAAATGTCTTTGTTCATTGCACTGTTCAAAGTTTCACTTCAGTCAAACTGTTGACTCGAATCACTGAATGTTCTGGCAGATACTCAGTTATTCAGTAACTGTTTAGTAATAAATTCACTAATATCATATAGGCAAACATTTATCACAGTTGATCAAAGAATTTGTTTTTCATTCAAAATCTCTGAGATAAAACTAATTAATACCAGAAATCTTTTCTAATGTTTGGGCTTTGATTAAAATGTGGGTGCTCGAAATGCTAACCAAATGACATCTTTTCAATTACTTTCATTTCCAAACGGAAGGGATTCTACTAGGCTATGTAATGTTCTCTTATAAAAAAGAAGGTGTTTTACCATACAAAGGAGCAAATAAGACACTTTAAGAAACTGACCCACGTCTAGTCTATATGCTAATAGAGTTCGAACAATTCTATCCAATAAAACAACGTGGAACTCTAAGTATGTCAATGAATAGGAACAACTAATACCCGTTGTACAAGAAGTGGCTATCGTTCTTCTGTGGCATAGTGGATGGCTCCTTGGCGTTTGAAGCAATGGGTACGAAGTTCGAATCTCAGTCGGAACAACATTACTCACTGAGGTGAAGGTACATCCAGCTGACGAGTCACAAGTAAGTCGAAGCAGGCAGCCCGGAACCTTTTTCTAGCCACAACTAAACTAATTACCATTCAGGCAATATTTAGGCATATGTATACAATCCCATATGCCAGCAGAGGTCGAACAATTCGATTCAATAAAACAACAGAGGATTCCAAGTATGTCAATAAACATTAATAATTCCTAATGAGTTCAGATTATCAACATCAACGAGTTGGCAATACCTTTGACACAGGTTTTCCAAATAGCAACGTGATGACATCACTCTTCCAAAGTCAGTCCTTTTTTCTCTGATCGAAATTGGCATGAAAAAGCCTCAATTTACAAGATAAACACAGATGTATGGCTCAGAAACCAACTTCGTTCATGTATTCCTTATTTTAGTCACTGGAGTGTCTCTTTAAACTAGCTTGGCGAAGATGACCAGGACAGAGAAAGGGCAATGTAATAATTCTATCCTTCATCGGTACAGCAGCATTCTAGGTAACACCAGCTTCAAGATGGAATGTAAGCCGGAATATCTGTCTCAGCCTGAAATTTAACCTCAGAGGATGATCAAACTCACAATGAAATGCAAATTACATACACGAAGTATTATCTTAAACACGAAACATTCACTTAGGGATTGATCAAACAGCTGTGATATAAAAAAAATATTCTAACATGGCAACCAATGAGAGAACGTTGTATGTCCAGTACAAATTAGCCGATCAGCACTAGTTAAGACATAAAAGTGCGAATATTAATCAAAATATAGGCCTAACTATGATTTGTAATATGGTCAGAGTGTTGGAAATAGCTATGTAAACAATGTCTGACAGATACACTACTAGGATTATCATGATGACCATTCTAAAGGTAAACATATGTAGATTGAAAGACAGATTGACCACTGAATCTTCGTTCATCCAACCAGCCTCGAGGACACAATAGAAATGATCTGAACATTTTTCATACTTCCTCATCTACATTTTACTTTGAGGAGTACGTTGGTAAGATGAAGGTTAATCCATAGCAGCTTAATGATCAAGTATTTGCTCATTTTCTAATATTAAGTGAGGGAGATAATATTGTAGAGTTGTAGTTTTTTTCACTGAATGAATTAATCAATAACACTTATCTGGAACGCTTATCTATCGACATTAAAATTGGAGCATACCTGATGAATCAGAATAAGCACGAAGTTAAATAAAGGCATTTTCCCACTGGTACTTAATCTCAACGTCAAGCATGTTGGTTTACGATGTTTTCACATTCATGGCCAGTTTTATTCTAAAACTTTGCATTAAATAATATATTGAAAAGAAGGGAGAACAACAATTTTAGTTCAAACTGCTGTCCTCCCTATATTTCGAAGTTTTTATTATGAATAGAGTCACAAAACAGCAGCAAACTAAAGTCAAAATCGTTTTTAAACAAGTCAGGAAAATAAAAGGATTATAAAATAAAAAGCTGACAGGCTACTTAGGAATCAGTGAAGACTTGAGTAATCAGCCAAAAATGTTTTCAAGATAAAATGGAATTAAGCAAAACATGAACATGGAGTCAAAGACTGAGCACTATTCATCACAATTCCATGGGGACACTGTGAACCAAGTGAACAAATCACATAAACATATTATTACGGCTTAGATTTTCGTTATGGCTTGA